ATCTTTCCTCTTTCCGATCAGAATAGCTGCTGCTCCTTAGAGAGGTGGCCTAGGGTTCAAGGGTCTGAGCCCCGTGGTCATGCCACCTAGGATGGCAGCTGGTCTCCCAGGCTGACTCCTGAGATCAGGCTGGTGGGAGGGGATGGGCTTTGGAGGCTGTCCCTGCCCCTTCCACCCCCGAGGGTTGGCTTTGTGTTCCTGCCTGGAGCTCCAAAATCTTTTTATTAGAACAAAAATCCTGATACATACAGGAAAAACGTTAATGTTTGTTAATTTTGATTGGTACATACATGGATGTTTATTGCAGTCTTTTTTTTCTTTTTTGGTATTTTTTAAAGGAAAAAAACAGTACCCCATTTTACTAGTTTACTAGTTTGTGTGTTCTAAAATTTTTCCTAGAGTGTTTGTTTTCCTTAAGAGGGTCCTTCTGCAGGGTTCTTGATGTCCGACCCTAGAGCAGACTACGGGGGTGCCCCAGCCTTGGGTGGAGGAGGGGAGAGGCATCCCTGGGGCTGTTTCTTTGCAGAGTGCTGCCCAGCCCAGCAGGTGTGTGCTGCGGGAGCGGCGGGAGCCTATGTCCCTGCTGAAGGTGAGGGTTAGTGGGGCTCAGACCCTCCCCGGCAAGGAGGATGTGCTTTGGGGCTCTGCTGCCCGCCCCTCACCCCTGCTAGCTTTCAGAGCTCCGGATGCCTGGGCTCCTAGCTGGAGGCCCTTTGTGCTGGCTCTCTTTTGCAAGGAATCTTGCCCCAGAAATCGAATCCCCTCTTCTGCTGCTCTGGGGAACCTCTCTCTCTGGTGGGTCACCCTTGGGTCCTGGATTGAATGTGGCCAGCCCTTCTCTGTGTCTGGACTTCCGGGGGGAAGATGTACATCCCCTGCTCCCACCCCAGGGTCTGCTTGTACTCTTTGCTCAGGAGACCCCAGACCCCTGGCAGAGCCTGGACCCCTTTGACTCCCTGGACGCCAAGCCCTTCAAGAAAGGTAATTGGGTGGAGGGACACCTTCACTCGGGCACCTGTGGCTGGGTTCTCCGGAGCACTAGTGGTAGATGAGGGTGGGGGCTGTGCTGCCTAGTGCGGTCTGCACTTGCTCCTCGGGCTTGTGGGTGCCATCATCCGCCCCAGGGCCTTTAGTTGTGCACTGAGACGTAGCCATTTGCCCCCAGGTAGGCCCTACTCTGTGCCCCCCTGTGTGGAGGAGGTTCCAGGACAGAAGCGCAAGAGGAAGGGTGTCGCCAAGCTGCAGGACTTCCACCAGTGGTACCTGGCTGCTTGTGAGTGGGTGTGGTGGGGCCGGGCCAGGGCAGGAGGGTCCGCGTGCAGCTCATGGGGACTTGGCTCGGTTCCTACTGACCAAATTCTCTCGAAGATGCCGAGCACGCTGACAGCAGGAGGCCCCGGCGAAAGGGCCCGTCCTTTGCAGGTGAGGTCAGGGTCATGTGTGCACTCTGCTGAGTGCCTGCCTCCCCTCGGCCTGGGGGCACCCAAGGCTCTAGGTGGACTGGGGAGGGGGGCTGGGCAGGGCGTGGGAGCCCCTCTTACAAGGGCTTTGTGTGTAGACATGGAAGTCCTGTACTGGAAGCACGTGAAGGAGCAGCTGGAGACCCTCCGGAAGCTGCAGAGGAGGGAGGCAAGTACTGGCCACTGTCTGGAGCCCACGTGGTCCCAGGTGGGAGACAGCAGTGTGCCTCATAGATGCTGTCTGCACACAGATGGCGGAGCGGTGGCTGCCGAGGCCTGAGGAGGGGCTGTGGCCTGTGGAAGAGGACCGCCTGGAGGATTCCCTGGAGGATCTGGGGGCGGCAGGTGGGAGCCTACTGGGATGGGCCGGGGTGGGGGCTCAGCATCCGCTGCCGGCCAACCTGCCTCCTCCTGGGCTTCTCTGTCTGCCAGCAGATGACTTTCTAGAGCCTGAGGAGTATGCAGAGCCTCAGGAGGCAAAGCGTGGGGAAGCCGCAGACCTGGGTAGGTCTGAGAGTGAGCTGCTGGCCGGGGCGGCCGCTCCGGGCCCCTGAGGACAGTGGAAGGGGAAGGGGTGTGGCCCGTGGCCACAGAAGCTCATAGCTGCCCCTTTCCCAGAAACAGAGGCCGTGCCGGCATCCCTGAGCTATGAGGAGCTGGTCCGCAGGAATGTGGTAGGTCCCAGTCAGAGCAGGTCGGGGCGCTGGGTGCGGGGCTCCTGCACAGAAGGTGGCAGCTCCCGGTCCCACCCTAGGAGCTCTTCATCGCCACGTCTCAGAAGTTTGTGCAGGAGACGGAGCTGAGTGAGCGCATCAGGCACTGGGAGGACACCATCCAGCCGCTGCTCCAGGAGCAGGTGAGGGAGGGGTTGGGCCAAGCGCTGACTGACAGCTAGGGACTCCCCTGCCGCCTGCCTGGGTTTTGCCCCGGGATCTTGCCCCTCTTTCTTGCAGGAACAGCACGTGCCCTTTGACATCCACACCTATGGGGACCAGGTGGTCTCAGGGTTCAGCCAGCTCAACCAGTGGCGTCCCTTTGCGGAGCTAGTAGCTGGCCAACCTGCCTTCGAGGTGTGTCGCTCCATGTTGGCCTCCCTGCAGCTGGTGAGTGGCCTGGGGAGCCTGGGAGGGAAGCGGTCCCCGACTCTCCTGACACCTTATCCCTGTAGGCCAACGACCACACAGTGGAGATCACCCAGCAGCCGGGGCTGGAGGCAGCTGTGGACACCATGTCCCTGAGACTACTCACCCACCAGCGGGCCCACAAGCGCTTCCAGACTTACGCTGCCCCCTCCATGGCCCAGCCTTGAGTGGGGAGCCTTGACGCTGACGGGTGGGCTCTGGAGCTCCGTCCCCCGTGGGTGCTGGGCATCGCGTCTGCTCACTCGACCCTTGTTTCCTGGCTGGCCCAGCCCAATAAAATGGTGTTGCCATCCCACTTAGTCTTAAAAAACACCCCTGCGCTATGCAGGCAAAGGGCTGCGCTTCCCTGCCGTGGCCTCCTGGGGCCACCGACGACGCAGACCACAGGCACACAGCTCCATCACACTCTCTTTAATGACCTGGTTCAGTGCAGGACGCTGCGGAAGGCAGCCATGTGGCGCCTCACGCTGTCTGCGATCTGCTCTGCTGATCTGGCCCGGCTGTAGTAGTCCGTGAAGAGGCCGTCAGGGCTGAGCAGGTAGATGGCAACGGAGTGGTCCACGATGTAATCCTGGTCCTCGTCCTTGGGGCCCGCGCTGTAGTACACGCGGTAGCTGCGGCTCACTTGGGCCACCTGGTCAGCAGAACCGGTCAGGCCCAGCAACCGTGGGTGGAAGTCCTGTACGTAGCGGGCCATGGCTGCGACAGTGTCCCGCTCGGGGTCCACAGTAATGAAGACAGGCTGCACCGGGGGCAGGCCGGGCTCAGCCTCCAGCTGCCGTACCACCTGCACCAACTTCTCCAGCTCGTCTGGGCAGATGTCGGGGCAGTGAGTGAACCCAAAGTACATCAGCACCCACTGACCCCGGAAGTCAGCTTTGCAGCGAGCCCGTCCCTGGTGGTCCAGCAGGCTGAAGTCCCCCTGGCCCACAGCCGCCCGGCGCAGGGCCTCTGTCCGCTGTTGCTGCCGCCGCTGCTCCTTCTCAGCCCTGGCAGCCAGCCAGGCCCCACCCAGCCCAGCCCCAAACAAGGCGGTGATCAACAGCCTAGTTCCAAGCCCAGGGCCCTGGGGCCGGCTCTGCCTGCCTGTGTCTCCAGGGCCCTGCCTTGACAGGAGCCGGCACCTCACGTGTCCGGCCTTGCCTCCCGGGGTCCAAACGAGGGCTGGGGGCTTCAGATGAGAGAGCCTGTGCCAAGCCTTGGGTGCCAGAACCAGCAGCAGCATGGACCTGACGCTCCTAGGAAAGAGCACAGGTGTCAGGAGCCTGCGGTTGCCTCCGCCTCCTGGGTCAGCCCCCGTTGGCTCGGGGGAGACTTGCCACCATCTGAAGGACCAAGGCTGCACGGCAGCTCACAGCTGCTCACCTAGTGCTCAGGACTGCCTCACCTATGAAAGGTGTTCTCAGATGCCCATGCTTGTCACTCCTGTCCTTTGGCTGGAGAGGCTCAGTCTGTCTCCTCCCACCCCGGTCCTGTGCCTGCAGCTCTATGGCCCGGGGAAGCACTCCACACCTCACGGGGTCAGCTGATGGGAAGCATTCCAAGTGCATGCCTTGCCTGGGCTCCTGAGCATGTGTGTCGTTTTGCAATAAACCCATTTCTTGAAAGGAGGTGGCCGAGTCTCTGCCTTTAACCCCCAAAGATGGGCTCCTCCCGCCCTCCTGCGGGCTGCCAGCCTTTCACCACTTTAACTCTGTGCCCCCTCCCCCCCGCGCTCAGCAGCAGCCCTGTGCACCCATGCCGGTCCGCCCACAAGGAGCCCGGGCAAGTACCCACCGACGCCGCTCCAGGCCGAGCTTTCCTGGTGCTCTCACCCCGAGAGGAATGAGGTTTCCACTGGTCACGAGCGTCCCCACCCCCCTTCACAGCCAGGATCCTGACACCAACTTCGGTGTCCGCCGTGTCCTTCTCACAGGAGCCCCTGGAAATTTGCTAAGTGGGGGCCTTAAGACTCCCCCTCACCTGTTCGTTCAGCTGCTGAGAAGACCCTCCCGAGGATTCCCAGACTTCTGGTCTCCGCCCACTTCCGGATGGTTCCTGGGGTTGCGCTCTGGGCTGGATGACCTTTGGCACGTCCCACAGCCTCTCTCCACCAGCTTCCTTCTTTACATACGCGCTCTAAGCAGTGCACGCGATGTGCCTGGCAAGCGAAGGCAGCCTGTGGCCTTCCTGGGCCCCTTTTTTCTGGGAGCCCCACCTCCAGGGCGCCCTCCCGGACGCGCACCTGTAAGGTCAGAAAGCTGGACACCGAGCCACACACCGAGCACGACCCAGTCTCCTCGGAACCCGGCGTAAGTACCGCGACTCAGGGGACAGCCCCGCTCTGCCAGAGCTCGTCACCGCTGTAGACTCAACCACGCTGCACTAGCGGAGTCGACAGATTCCTGCGCTACCGGTGCGCTCAACGCCAGCGCGCACGCTCATGGGCATGGCGCACGCGCAGACAAGCGTGAACGTCCCCGCTCCCCAGGCCCTGCTTCTCTGCGCGCGTGCGCAAAAGGTGGCGGGCCCAGCGCAGAGTTGGGCGGGGCGTCTCCCTGGCTCCGCCCCTTCGCGCTCCGTCCCGCGGCGGCCCGGCTTCCCTCGGAGCCACTTCCCCCACTTCCTCTCGGTCTCGCCGGCCTTCCTGCGGTTTCGCCGCGGCCGTCTGTTCCGCAGTGTGTCGATCGGCGTGCGCGGGCGGCGGCGGGAAGAGGTCGGCAAAGGACGAGGGGGTGGCGAAGGGCGCGCGGTCCGAGGGCACGACGATCCCTGCAGGGCCAGCCTCCGGCCCACGCCGACCTACAGTTCAGCTTCCACTCCCGCCGGAGTGGATGCCTCGCGTGGCTGCGCCCGGATGAGTTGCGCGGTGCCGGCCGGAGGCGGGGGGCCAGGGGTGAGAATCCGGGCTCGGGGAAGGAAAGGGGATGGGAACTCGGAGAAGGGAAGGGGCCTGGGTTGGTGGGGAGGGACGGAGGTCTCCCGGCGCCCACTGTCCACGGGCACGTGCAGCTCCTCCTCCGGGCGCGGGGGTCCGGGAGCATAGGCCTGGAGCCAGGCCCAGGTCCAGGCTCTGCTCCCGGGCATCCACTCGAAGCGCCCCTGGGCCGGGCGGTCCTCCAGCTCCCAAGAGGCACATGGGACCAGACTGCCAGAGTCATGGAGGGGAAGTTGAGCTCACGTTAGAAGACCTACCCAAACAGGCCACAGCCACACTGGGATTCCCATAGGACACACGAACTCCAGCAGGCACAGGTGCTCCCCAGGACTCTTGGCAGCTGCTGGGTGTGACTAGGGAATACTTCAAGTCCACCACTGGAGGGGATGGGCTGTCCACCATCTTCTGAGGATGGAGGGGGTGGTGACGCAGAGGGGTCTGGAGCTTTTTCGGAGATGTGGCGTGTGAGAAGTGAGATGATTCATTTTCAGAAACACCAAATAAAAGTTGTGCTGTCTACTTAAGAATAGGTTTATAACCTATTGAGAATATGTATGAACCTCCCCCCGCCCCCCCCCCTCCCGCGCCGGAGTCCCAAACCCTTAGGCACTTCACTTCCTGGTTCTTCCCCTCTCCTTTTGCGGCCTTATTTTCTTGGGCTTTGCAGTTAGCATGCACCAAAGAACTGAAGTCTGCCTCACCTCAGGGAATGTACATTTGTTCCAACCAGACTACTTTGTGCCTTCCGTGGGCAGAGGCGACCTCTGGGGAAGGCTGTAACCTCTGTAGTACTCACCAATGAAGAACAAGGGGAGGGACTTCACGCTAGGAGATAAATTGCCTGCTGTAACCGCCCTGAGTGTGCCTGTCCCTTAGACACCGCTCTTGCAAGAACGTTGATTAGAGCCTGGCTTCACTGTGCTCTGAGTCTCCGTGTCCTTCCTTCGAGTGGGTCGGTGGGCTTATTTCTCACAGGGGTATACTGACTCTTGGGTCAGTCATGAGGGTTTACAGACCCTGAATGTTGAGGATCAAGTCCCCTGTTGTACCTGCAACGGGCTTGGTGGGTTGTGCATCAGTCAGGTCACCTTTCTGAGTTGGTGGTCAGGGATCGTGTGATGGTACGCCGACCCTGGGGTCTATTCAGATCACCAGTGATTGGGGGAAGTCTCATGGTCTCCTGATGAGAGGACCCTGACTGTGTGGGTCAGAGGTCAGGGGTCTTTAACATGCAGGAAGTAGACCTGGAGTCTGAGGTCAGGTTACCTGTGATGACTAGCAGGGTGTCGATGGAGACTGACACTCACTCTGGCTTCATACAGGAGTCTGTCCACAGGAACCAGCTTCTTGCCCTGACCCATAGGACTGCGCCCACTCCCTCCAGCAGCCCTTACATCCGGCCAGACTACGCTGCATCAGGACTTCCAGGGACCCCCTTCACTGACCCTGATCATGGATTCATCAGCAACCATGACAGGTGTCCAAGACCATGACCAGAAACTTCTGAACAATTCTGGTAATTCCTCATTAATGACTGGTCTGACCCATCAGGTATAATGACCAATGTCCTGTGGCCCATTAAGGATTGATCAGAGAGCCCAATGGTGGTTATTATCAAGTCCCTATTAATGACTCCAATCAAGGTTTCACTGATGATGTGACCAAAGTTCAATGACCATCAGTGACCCATAAATAACTTTGATCAATATCCTCATTAGTGACCCTGATTAATGACCTATCAGTGATTCTTCAGAGATTCTGGCCAATATTACCATCAAGAACCTAGATCAATGACCAGTGGCCCACCTGTACCTGCTCTTAACTCTGGATGAGGGTGAATCCAGGAATAGACTCCAGTTTATTGGCGGGGCTTCCTCCCTGGCCCCACCCCTCCCTGCCCCACCAGGGTACCTCAAACCACATCCGTTGGTCATTGGTACCTGCTGGGCAGGGATGCTGAGTACACCTGCACACCTACTCCTCCTCTACCTCCACCATTCTCTCTCACTTTCCCTGGTTAGGGCTTCAGCTGGAGTTAAGCATTTAGTAAGTAGTTGTATGTGCAGCTGGTGGAGAGGGAATGGAAAAGAAATTGTTTTGATTTGGTATGGGGAGTGACAAGGAGGAGGCTAGTACCTACCCCTAGGAGCACAAGTCTGGGGAACCAAGAGAGAGGAGTACCCAGCTCTTCCCTTGGGAGTCCTGAGTGGGGTACCCAAGGGGGAGCTGGAGAACTTGGTCCTGTTATGGGGGGCTGATGGGGTGGGGGGAACCTAAATTCCATCCTGGGGGTGAGAAGCCTGGACCCCATCTTTGGGGGACTTTGTCTAGGTCAGGCTTGAAGTTGGAGATTGCCTGTATGCTGCTAACTGACCTCTTTGAGGTCAGACGTTCTGGTCTGGAGAGGAGGCATCTTCTAACCTTGTAGCCTGTAGCCAGCCGGGTAGGTACCAGGTCCAGGCTGACCTTGTCACCCACTCCCCTTGTAGAATTTTGTTTATGAGTTGCGGGCAGAAGGCCTCTGGCAGCTCCAGCTGCTGCCCAGACTTGGCCGGGGCCTGGGTCAGCACCACTTTCTTCTTCAGATCTATGCCTCCCAGTGGCATGGCCACTAGCACGGCTTCTAGGCATGGAATACGGTGGGATGTAGCCATCACGGGGGTGGGGGGGGGTGTTCTCACAGCGGTGGGTTATCTTGAGGTCACTGACAGTGCTGGGGCACTGTCCCCAGGACAGTTGTGGCGTCCCCAGGGGAAAGCGGTCTCGGGCTGACCTCAGGGTTAGGGGTGCCCAGAAGTTCCCACGCACCGATTTTCGCGCCCTGCGCACTCCCCTCCACAGCGCACACGAAGCCCCGCAGGTCCCCCTAGCTCAGGGGGTTTTCGTCTCTCTTCAGGCGGGTCAGACCCGGGAGTTGCTTGAGCTCCCTCCCCCTGAAAGGTCACCAGGCGCCCCTGGGCCGCGGGTCCCTAGGACGCCATCGCTCCGAGCCTGCGGGGTGCGAGACCGCCGGAACCTGCGGCCGCCCTGTGTCCGGGTCTCTGCAGCAGGTGCACCTGTCCCGACCCTGATCCCGGTCTCTCCCTCTCATGTCCGCCCCCTCTGTACCGTGTCTGTGGTGGTGCTCGTGTGCGTGTCTCCGTGTCTGGCTCCTACTCGTCGGCCTCACAGCCTGACCCCGGCCTGTACCTGTCCGGTACGGCGGCCCTCACCCATCCTGCTCCAGACTCCAGGCGGGGGCGGTTTGCAGTCCCGCGGCCACAGGACGGCGGGTGGGCGGGGCCTCCCGGACAGGCGGACTCTCGGCCAATGGTCGCCCCAGGCCCTTCTGTCTCGGCCAATCAGGAAGGCCCGCGGGCGCGCGCCTTCCGGGACTTCCCGGGCCGGCCCGCCCGCGGAGCTCCGGGGACCCGTGGACCCCAGCGTCCCGCCGCGCGCGCCCCGCGACCCGCGCCCCCGCCGCGAACACACAGGGGCGGACACGCTGCTGGCTCGGGAGGCTTTAAGCAAACGTTTGTGGGGCCACGCCCGCCCAGCGGGTCAGTCATCCGCGTAGGTCAGGACCCGGGCCAGGTGGTCCGAGTGCCGGATCCCGAAGCTCCAGCCGCCGGGCTTGCGGTGCTGCGGACCCAGGAGACGGCGCTGACCTCGCGGGGCCAGGCGTCCAGCTCCGCGCCGGGGAACCCCGGGACTCCGACCCTCCTCCCCTCTCCCCTGACCCTTGACCCGGGACTCCAGACCCCTTGGTCCACGTTGTAGGCTGCGGGTCCCGGATTCAGGGTGTTGTCCTGGGGGAGTGAATTCCGCGCCAGCATCGAGAACTGGGGGGCCCGAGGCTTGTAGATCCCAGTGTTCACCACGTGGTAGGCGCAGGGACCCGGGGTCTGTGGGAGGGCAGCGGGGGGCGCACTGGCCTTCACCTCTTGCTTCCTGACCCTCCGTGGCCCGCCGGGTGCACCCCGCGCTGCGCCGTGTCCCGCAGCCCCTCTCCCACCTTGCTGAGGTCCTCGAAGCAGCTGCCCACTGCGCTGCGGCCACAGATGGAGTAAGTTGGGGCCGAGACTTTACCGATGACACGCGGACCCAAGAGCGAGGGCACAGTGTAGGCCCCGGGGCCTGGGGAGGAGCCAGCAAGGGGTGGGGTCTGGGGCGGGGGTGAGTCTTCCTGGCCAGGCCAGGGTCTCCCCGCCGCAGCCTGGAGAGTGGTTCCCCGTCAGGGATAGGAAGGTCCACGGTGCTGGAATAGGCCTTTCTGGTCTCACCTGGGGTCTGCGGCTCCGCGTGGATGCCCCAGTTTCGGGGGGCGATGGTGTGCCGAGGCGCACTGGGGTACGTCGCGTTCCCAGCTCGTTCTGGGAAGTACCTGCCTGCGGGGCGGACCGGGGGTGTGGGCCGGGACCGGGACGGGGTTGGGGGTCCTGGGACTGAGGTGAATCCGAGCCACGGTTTGTCAAAGCCCGGTGGGGCTTGGGGTTGAGATCGAGATGTGGAGGTACCGATTTTGGAGTGTTAGGGTACACGGGGAGGGGGCGTCGGGGCACAGGTAGGGGGTTCCCGGGTGGGCCTTCCCGGAGGCGGCTCTGCCCTGGGGAGCCCGGGGTCCCAGGGGTCCTGACCGGGTCCCGGAGTGAGGAAGGGCGCTGCGTGGCGCGGACGGCCGTGGATGGAGTAGGCGGGGGTGCCGTCGGGGCCGCGCACGGTCATACGAGCTGGAATCAGGTGGCCGGGCCCGGGGCCGCACGAAGTCTGCTGCGTGGGGAGGCGCGCGCCGAAGGAGAACGCCGGGGCGCGGGGCCGCGACGGGTCGTGCAGGATGTAGCCTGACGGAGCGTCCCAGCGTCACCGCGGGCCCCCGCTGCTCCCCGCCCCGGGCACAGTGCACCGTATCCCTCCCTCCCTCCCTCCAACAGACTTCCCTCCCTCCCGCCCTGCAGCTGGGTTACGGCGTCCCCTTGCCGGCACAGGCCTCGGTAGCCCCTCCACCCCCCGCTCGACGCCGGTACCGGTGTTCGGTGGCAGCATGTACTTGGGCCCCGGGCCTCTGTAGAGCGCTGCGATGGGGCCGCGGGGCCGGTGCGGCCGCCAAGGGCCGACCCAGACGTCCGAGCCCATGGCGCGCGAGGGTGGGGTGAGCTTACGGCCCGCGGCACCTGTGGACAGAAGGTGGCGGCCCCGGCCCCTCCACCCAGGACTCGCGCCGAACGCGCTTCTCCGCTCCAGCTCCTCCCGACTCCGGGGGTGGGGCCCATCCTGTATCCCGGGCGCCGGGAAAACAAACCGGAGCTTTCCCGGCTCGGCGGGGGGCCGGGCCGGAGCTTCAAGCCCCCAAAGTGAGTCCAATAGGGGTGTGTGAGCGCGCCAAGTTTGGACTCAATCCTGGGGGGGGGGAGGAATTCCCTAGGGTTCTGGGGGGCTGGGATATTTTAGGGGCATCCGGCCGAGACACTGGGGCGAGGAGGCGACGTGGGGAACCTGGTGCCCAGAGGGGGCTCCAGAGTCGATGCACTAACCTGCCCTCGTGGCTCCCGGCAGGGAAGGCGAGGTGGAGTGCCCGGATGCCTGCCCCCTCCCGGCCCGACTCTCAGACCCCATTGTGTCCAGGTTCCGCCTCCTGGCAACGGGGCTGCCCGCCCCTTACCCCAACCTGGCTCCGCCCCCCGCAACCCAGCCCTGGAGGCTTCTCCGCGGAGTCGTCGTCGTCGCCGCCGGTGCCGCCGCCCTGCGGGCGGGACCTTGCGCCAGAGCACTGGCCTGGCTCTTCGCTGGGCTTCAGTGCCCCCATTCCAGAAGTGTACGGCGCCCTGACAAATTCTCATTTAAAAACCACTGGATCAAAGAGAAACTCAAATGTGAAGTTACACGTCATGTAGAAAACATTGCAAAGGTAGATCCCTCATACCCAACTCTACAGGACATAGCTACAGCTGTGTTCAGTGGAAAACGTATAGCCTTAAATAACTCTATTTAGGCTATACGTTTTCATTATTTTTTAAAGTTTATTTATTTTGAGAGAGAGTGCTATCAGGGGATGGGCAGAGAGAGAGGGAGAGAGAGAGAATCCCAAGCAGGCTCTGCACTGCCAATGCAGAACCGATGTGGGGCTTGAACCCAAGAAGCCCGAGATCATGACCTGAGCTGAAACCAAGAGTCAGATGCTTAACTGACTGAGCCACCCAGGTGCCCCTAAATAACTTCATTATTAATGAAGGAAAATTTTTAGTAAAGAAACTTAGTGTTTATCTTACAAACACACGCACACACACAAAAGCAATGAAGGAAATGAAAAGAATGTGTCCATTTTACCCAGCTCTGCCAGTCACCTGCCAACTCTCGGAAGGGGGCAGGGGATGAGAAGGAGTGCCCAGTGTTTTGTGGGAATTCTGGTCTTTGCCAAGGGAGCTCTGAGCCCAGTGTGGCATGGATCGTGAGGCAAGCTGGGGATTGCTGGGAGCTGCGCGTCTGGGCCCTCCAGGGGGGACCTGAGGGCCGAAAGGGAGAGGCAGGTAGAGGGTGCATTGTCTAAAGAGAATTTTAAAATAACACCGAGGGTGTGCCAAATTGATCAGCCTTTTATTATCCTTGTGAGACCAGCAATTCTAAAGAAGGTCAGAGAGAAGATACTCCTACCCGACAAATCTTTTGTTAGTGGTTTAAAAAGATACTGTGGTTACTGTTGAATTTTAATAGCATATATGTAAGTTTCAAGTTAGCAATTTTTATTGCCTTTATTAAATGTTGTATTCTGTATGGAAGTTAATGCAGACTCCCTCCAAGTTGTTCTTAGGGGACTCAGTGCCTCATGCTTGGACATTCGAAACGGCTTTTGGAGCTCAAGGGGCAATTGTGTCTCCTCTCCCCGAGGTGACACATATTTCTCCTTTTAAGCCTTAGATTTGAGATGAGCAATGAGACCAGAGCGATTGCAAGAAGGAAGAAGAAACAGAACTCAGTTTTCACACTTTTGCAATTCTGTGACCATTTGGAGTTTTTATTTGTGTTTAAGATTTTAAATAGTGAGGGACTCCTGGGTGGCTCAGTTGGTTGTGTCCGATTCTTGATTTCGGCTTAAATTGGTGAGTTCAAGTCTCGCATTGGCCCCGCTCTGACAGTGCGGAGACTGCTTGGGGTTCTCTCTCTCTCTCAAAAGAAATAAATACATTTAAAAAATTAAAATACTGAGACAGGGCAAGGTGTACTATTTTTGTTTGGTTGGTACAAACTTTATTTCATATGTGAAGTATTTTACTGAATTAGAATATTTTAAAAACAAAAATATTTTAAAATTGCTCATTTTAATTGTTAATTAAAGAATGAGCCAATAAAATCATTATTGCTGCTTATTAGATGATAATTTCTGAAAAGCGTGTTGCAGGATACCAGAGGGGGTGTTGACAGAAGATCCCCCATAAAATCAGACACACCAGGTTGGTCCACCCAGACGTGGGATCTGGGGTGTACTGAGCTTTGAGCTGTGGGCTTCCAGGGGCTCACAGCAGCTTGGCCATCCAGGGCCAGCATTTGAGTGGGAACCGGGACCTGAGTGGGAAGTTCCAGGACTGGTGTGCACCGCTGTGCCCCAGGACTCCCCATCTGCCCAGGACTCTGCCTGGGCTCAGCCACCAGGTGCAGGAGCAGCGGCTGTAGAAAGACAGAAAGTCAGGGAAGGGTGAGCTCCTAGAATGTGTGGGCAGAAAATGAGGGCTGGGGGCAGGACTAGATTCCTGGGGTTAGTGGACAGTGATGGGACCTGGTTTTCCTCGTTTGCCTTTGTTTCTTCAGCCAATGAATCATTTATTTCCCTCCTCCATGGAAATAGCTGAATTTCTACCCAAGGTATAAGCGTGCTGCATCTAGCTGTAAGGAAAAAGCCAACCTATGCAGAGAGACACACAGCCAGAGCAGAGCGCCCTGGATGCTTGTCTTATCCCAGAATGGGCTTGTCTTACCCACGCGATTCTGTGCCTTCCTGTATGATGACTTAACCAGTCCTCATTATAGATGTTTGGGTTGGTTCTGCAGCTTAAGATTGTGATCCCAGGTACTCCGAATTCTACTCAATTAATCTTCATAAGTTTACCCAAATAGTTCTTTAGGATAAACTTCCTAATGTGGGACTGCGGGGTCAAGGGGATGATGATTTGGCGAATGTTGCCTAATTGCCGTCCTCAGAAGTGCAGCCTCCCTAGAATGCTCGCCAGTGAGGGTGCTGACTGAGCCTCTTGCTTGCTGTTGTGTCTCCAGTGGGTCATAAATATTTGATGAATAAATAGATTAATTTATACTTTCTTCAATGAATTGTGTTTCTTTTTCTGTACACACTAACCAGTGAAGGTTAAGATCAACCTTTTAAATAATGAGAGCCAAATATATTCATAGAGCATGTATTATATGTCAGGCACTATACTGAGTACTAATTTGCTGAAATTATTTTATTTAATCCTCACAGCAAAGTTGGAGTAAAGTGCTATTATTTATTCCAATTTTACAGATTAGGAAACTACATGAAGGCATGAAGGGCTACATGCTTAGAGAGTGGTGGAACTGAGATTCAGATCCAGACTATCTGGCTCTCACACTCTAGACCCTTAATGAATCACACTGCCTCTATACCTTGGCCAGTCTGATGTGAAAATAAGGTCTTGTTTTGTTGAGATTTGCATTTCATTGGTTCTTAGGAAGAATGAACATATTTCATGTATTTATTGGCCATATATATTTCGACAAACTGCCTGTTCACGTGTTTCTATCAAATTTTCTGTTGTTTTTTTTCATATTTTTCTTATTGATTTGTAAGACATTTATTTAAAATATTTTATTTTCTGATTTTTATGTAAACATTTTTTAAGGTTTATTTTTGAAAGAGAGAGAGAGAGAGAGAGAGCATGAGTGAGGGCGGGGTAGAGAGAGAAAGACACAGAATCTGAAGCAGGCTCCAGGCTCCGAACTGTCAGCACAGAGCCCAGTGCGGGGCTTGAACCCACAGACTGTGAGATCATGACCTGAGCTGAAGTCGGAAGCTTAACCACTGAGCCACCTGGGCTCCCCTAAAAGTTTTTATTTTTAAGTAATCTCTACACCCAATGTGGGGCTCAAACTCATGACCCTGAGATCAACAGTTGCACGCTTCACCGACTGAGCCAGCCAGCACCCCAAGACATCTTTATGTTACATATTTAACTTTGGGGGTCATATGTTTTCCAGATTTGTAGTTTTTCTTTCTATTTTGTTATTGGTAATCTTTTGCTGTACAGAAAAAATATGTTTTTATATAGTCCAATATGTCAAACGTTTCCTTTTGGGCTTCTAGCTTTGGGGCCCAGCAGCTCAACACTGGAACACTGTTCTATTGTTTATCCTAGCACACACACTCACACACACAAACCTATGATTTCAAAGTTTTCATCATTTGGAATTTATTCTGTGTGTAGTTTTTTTTAAAATAACTTTATTTATTTATTTATTTATTTATTTATTTATTTATTTATTTAATGTTTATTTTTAAGAGACCAAGGGAGCATGAGCAGGGGAGGGGCAGAGAGAGACACAGAATCGGAGGCACCCTCTGGGCTCTGAGCTGACAGCACAGAGTCTGATGTGGGACTTGAATTTTTGAACTGTGAGATCATGACCTGAGCTGAAGTCAGATGCTTAACCAACTGAGCCACCCAGGCGTCCCTATTCTGTGTATAGTATGAGGGAAGAATATACTTTATTGTCCTGTCTTCCAATACCATTTTTCAAAAAAAACATCATTTCCTTGATTATTTGAATTGCTAACTTGATCATATACTAAACTCCCCTAGGTTTGTTTCTGGGCTCTAAATTCCTATCTGTCTATCCCTGCACCTACACTGGAATGTTTCGTTATGGGCTTCTAGTGTCTTTTGATTTCTGATAGGGCAAGTCCCTTCTGTTTTGGCTTCCTTTCCAAAATTACTTGGAACATTTTACACATTTTTTTTTTTTTCCCTACGTGAATTTCTGAATGAGTTGAAATTGATTGAAATTGCATCGGCTGCATAGATTACTTTGGGGAGGATGGACTGGATTATGGTTTTGAGTTTACCAGTTTAGGAACAGGTTATATTTCTGTAGGTCCAGGTTGGATCTGTTGTGACTTTGAGTAAAGCAGTGATGATGGAGAGAGAAGGAGAGAGTGTGGTTGGAGATAGGTTTTGGTGCTAAAACTGACATGCTTTGTAATATATTGGATGTAAGCGATAAAGGAAAGGTGGGGATCACTGGTTGCTTCTGCTCTGATGGACCGAGCAGTGTGCCACTTTCACTCCGTCCCCTCCCAGCACTAAACGCCTCCCCCCTTCTGTTTGCACCGACACTGCCCAGCCCCCCCTACACCTCCCCTTTGCCAGCTGGTGTGGTGCTAGGTTTTGTCCATAGGGGGTGCCGGAGGGACACCGCAAGGACTGGCCTAGAGAAGGGCCTTCATTCCTTGTTCATTCGCTGTTTGGTGCAGAGGC